TCCCATGAGCCGCATGTGGCATGTTGGTATATGATGTGTGACCCTCAGATTTCAGCAGTCTATAGTGGTAACATTGGTTAGAGTAATAGCTTTGATCTTTACTAACATCATGTATGTTTCCAGTTTTGTATTGTCTTCTGCAGCATATTTCCATCCACAAATGTAGCATGTCCACACTGACCCTTATTGCTTTATTAGGTCTGCAGTTTGACAGTCTTCTAAAGTATTACATATATTGAACTTTACGTGTGGACCTTTGGTGGTGTCAGGGGCCGCATTTGAAGCCTCTGCTGTTAGCTTATAAGTTGACAGCCTCTACAGTAGAAGCAGCCCTAGCAAAGGCTTTTACCAGTGTTACCTGGAGGTAGCAGCATATAACCTACAGTTGTGCTCAAAGGTTTGCATACTCTGGCAGAAATCTTGAAACTTTAGCATTGATATTGAAAAAAATGACTGATCATGGGAAAAACTCTTTGTTTTAAGGATAGTGATTATATGAAGCCATTTATTCTTTCTTTCATTCATTCTTTGGCTCCTTTATAAATTATAATGATAACATAAATCACCCAAATGGCCCTGAAAAAAAAGTTTACAAACCCTGGAATGTTTGACCTTGGTACAGACACACAAGATGACACGCACAGGTTAAAATTGCAATTAAAGGTTCATTTCCCACATCTGTAGCTTTTTAAATTGCAATGAGTGTCTGTGTATAAATAGTCAATGAGTTTGTTAGCTCTCACATGGATGCACTGATCAGGCTAGATCAGAACTGTCAAAAGACCTGCGTAACAAGGTAATGGAACTTTCTAAAGATGGAAAAGGATATAAAATGATATCTAAAGCTTTACATATGCCAGGCAGTACTGTTTAATCACTTTTTAAGAAGTCGAAAAGTTTAGGGATCTCTTGATACCAAGCCAAGGTCAGGTAGACCAAGAAAGATTGCAGCCACAACTGCCAGAAGAATTGTTCAGGATGCAAAGAAAAACCCACAGGTAACCTCAGGAGAAATACAGGCTGTTCTGGAAACAAATGGCGTGATTGTTTCAAGTAGCACAATACTACAATACTTGAACAATAATGAACTGCATGGTCAAGTTGCCAGAAAGAAGCTTTTACTGCACCAATGCCACAAAAAAGCCCAGTGAGACATGTCATGGTGTTGTCGGGCATACTGTATCCGGGCATTGACTATACACAGACATTAATAGCAATTTAAAAAACTACAGATGTGGGAAATTTACCTTTAATTGTCATCTTAACCTGTGTGTGTCACCTTGTGCGCCTATACCAAGGCCAAGCATTCAAAGGTATGTAAACTTTTGATAAGGGCCATTTGGGGGATTTCTGTTATCATTATGGTTTAAAAAGAAGCCAAACTAGTATATGATAATAAATTATTTCATATGATCACAATTTTTAAATAAAATACTTTTTTTTTGGCATGATAAGTCATATTTTCACGATTTCTGCCAGGGTATACAAACTTTTGAGTACAACTGTATGGTCTGTAACAGACTCGTGTCCTGTACTATACTCCAAGAGAAAGCATTTATGGGTAAGTTAACATTTTTATTTTTCTGTTTACTTTATGAGTATTGTGCATCAAATTGTAACTGGATTTGATAATTGTATGGACAGTCTTACAGAAGCCTTATAAACTGTGCACTGATGACAATTTTCCTTAAACAAAGCTATGCTTTTAGAAACATAAACACATTTGACTTTTCTCCAATTTCCTTTTGCTGTGGAAAAACCATCTTTTGTGCAACTGAAATGAAATATTTTATACCTAGCACTTGCACTCAATGTGTGTTGCTGATCTCTTTAACCTGCCATGAAAGCATTTACCTGCATAACAGCTATAAGTGTATTACAAGGCTCATGTGCTTTTGACCCATTTATAAAAAAAAAAAACAAATACAAAATAAAAAGATTTTTTAAACAGGCCTATTAAATTGTTATATTTTGTTGCATTTAAACAAGATTGTCAATCCAACAAGAAACTAAGCAATGGAAGTGTTTTACACCCAATAATTCTTGTGGAGGTCTGGGTGCAGATTATATGTATAAAATTACTCAGTGCTCTTAAATGTCCCTGATCTGAACCTCTCCTTGTTAGCCTAACCTTAATACCCGAACCCTAATAACCTAACCCCTAAAAGTAATCTTTAACAATTAAAGCCCTATTCACATATTACACAGTGGGAATGCGGTTTCCCACTTACTATTTAAAAAGCGCGATTCACACACATTTCTGCCTGTCTTGCACAGGGCAGCCCATTCACTTGAATGGGCTGCCCTGTGTTCGTTTGTCACTCCAAACAAACTTGAGGACCAAATTTTGTCCGAGCCAGGCGCGATTTTACATGAGCAACAGTCAAAATGTCCTGTGTTTTTGCCGCAATTGGAATTGCAGACAGAATCGTGACGATTCTGCTTGCAATTCCTAATCGGTCACTGTGCACGAGCCTAACAGTTTTAGCACTTATCTCTCATGCTGATGCTTACTTAATCCTGGCATTTTATCCCTAACTCCAATCTTACCTTACGTCTTTCACAGTTGTACAAGTTCCTCTCCTGTACTGAAATTGTTTAGCCTTATTTTAGTGCACACTGTGAGTTTTTTAAAGTGTGCATTAGAAGCTGCAGCAAGCCAGATAGAGCCCTCCTCATTTCCCAGCTGTAGGATCTTCAGCTTCATCTAGCTCTTTCAATCCCCTGCCACATTGACCCTGGCCTGGCTCATTAAGTTCATTTTGGTTCCTATAATCATGGAGGTTCAGCATAACATATCCACATCTTCAAGGGTAGTCTGCATGCAAATACAGTCTGCCTAATAGTGTATGCTCCTCAAGAATGACACCCACCCATGGAGGCTCTTTTTTCATAGCTACCCCCAAGGGCCAACCCGCATCTTTATTAATATTTTCAGGAAGTTATGTATAGCACCCTATCAGCCCCTTCCACCAGCCATAATCTGCAGATTAAATGTCAGTTTAACCATTTAAGCTGAAACATAATACCACTTGTCTTGAACTTTAATCCTATATCCTACCCTTGACCATAACATTATTTTAACCCTTAGCCCAATGCCTAATATTAAATTAACCTCTACAGGAGCATACTTAACTGATGTTATGACGCTGAATTTAATGGTCCCACCTAGAGATCTATCCATCCTGCGCTTCAGCATAAATTCTACACACATACCCATATGCCAGTAAGTCATCATCCACATTTCTACTGGTTCTGAGTCTCAGCTCCAAAAAAATTACTGATCTTTGAAAACTTACCTTGTGTGAAGAACTTGGTGCTTCTCCCTCTTCCTGGGATGGCAGGTGTGAAGGCATTTGTCAAGTGATTTCTGATGATGCATATAATCAGATAGAGCGAACCAACCAAAAGCACTGCCATTGAACAAATAAGATTGGCAATTTCTCTACATTGGGTACATTTTTGATATTCCCAGTTTTTTCTTTCATTGATGGATTGATAATCTTGAACTCTGTCATAGTCATATATTTTCAATAGGTCTGCTTTTATAAACTACAATTTCAGATTTAAATGATAGGTAACATAAGGGACATTTGTAATGCCCAGGAAAAACCCCTGTGTTGTCACTGGTATGTGGTGTATATTGGCAAAGATAGCCAAGGCTGCTGCCTGGGGCTCAGAGGAAAGTAGTGCAAATCCATCACTGATTGTAGTGATAATCCAAGGACAATTTAAGCACTAAAACAAAAAACCTCCTTTAGTAACTAACAAACAGCATTCCATAAAAAGCTAATGATTTTTTTATAGTCACAATATACTCAGTTACGGTATATCTGCCCAAGGAGAACCAGCATAAGGCTTCATCAGTAAGGGTATAGGCAGGGTAAAAAGTGTTAAAGTAGACTTCTACAGTTTACAAGCTTATGATTCACTCAAGATTCACCAATGGAATTTTAAACAGAAATGCTTATACCATAATTATAAAGCATTGCATTTTACATTCAACATCCCCCCTCTAAATTGGGGCAAATCTAAGCATATGCCAAGGACTGCCTACAAGGACACCCACTGCTTGTTTGTCTCAGTCTGCATTAACTATACAATGGTCACACATTCACCTGTACAATCCCTGAAGATTTCTGTGTTTGCATTCACTCTACTCTATGAAACATTTGCTGGTAGTCTATATATAAATCCAACAAATGCGTAACTCTACCCCCTCCCCGGATTAGTTTACTAATGCAAGCTGCCTAAGCATGGAACCATTTTGCCAACAGAGAACATGTGATCAGTGTCTCTGGATTGGTCAAGTGACTCCTCCATCCCATGATGTTATAGCCCTCTCCTCTTTTTCCTCTTCCTCCCCTCCCTTCACCTTTCTACATTACCTTTCATGTAGCAGCCAGGGGATCCTTTCATATTATAGCTCTTTCCTCCTCTGAGTGGCTAATTACTCTCTGTGCTTACTGAACTCCACAGCCCCTTTCCTCACCTCCCTACATAACCTTTATTTAGCTGTCAAGGGGAATACTATTGAGTGTCACTTGATTGACACTTGTCACTTGAGTCTACTGGAGCTGCCATCATTACAACCAACATGGTGGCACCCAGCAACAGTCTCAGGGCTTTTGGGTGTCTTTACATTGGAGGCTGTTACAGGTAAATAACATATATATATATATATATATATATATATATATATATATATATATATATAGAAATTAATGGTCTGACGACAGGGTTTCTTTAATATCAGAGGTTTTTCTTGAGCTTTATTAATGTCCCCCTATTCATTACAACTGAAACATTGACTAGGACGTTTATACAGAATGCTGGTGGGAATCCACAAATTGCCAACTCGTGTTCTAAAAAGTGAACGCTACATGTTCCATCTTCCCTCTCTGTCTTTTCCCTCTGAACTAATATTGCCTTTATGTCTGTGTCGTTTTCTGTGTGTGTTTGTCTTGTTTTCTGACTTTACGATATCTATTGTGCTTTAGACAAATACCCCAGGGAGATTATGTTAAAAAGGCTGGAGATGTCGACTCTTTTTATAGCGACTTGCCTCCTGGAGTCAGCTCCAACTCAGCATCTAGTTCTAAGAAGAGGTCTGCTATTCTGTCGCATTTTCAGATATCTGCCTGTTCCATCCCACATTATTCCATTAGTCAGAACATTTCATTGTTTTGCCGAAGGTTTGATCACTTTATTTATTTTCTATTTTGTGGAATATTGAATACGGGATTTTCCCTAAATCTTTGACTAGAAAGTGGCAGTAGCCAGGGTACCTTATGTGCATTAAAAACTCCATTGTTGCTTTGTAGCCAACATTACTTTAAACAGTCAGGTGGTGGGGGAACTATGCATCAACACATATTTCAGGTATGAAGGCTTTAGTATATTTTGTTCTATACTAACCCTACGTTATTATAGTATACCTAATCGAAATCTCATATACGCCTTAATATATTAGCACCTTCCTACCTAGCTCTGGTGTCCCTATAATTGGCTCTATATGCCAGGGGGGGAGCAGGGCAGACTTCCTGATTATATGACCATTGTGATTGGATGTCACAGTGCTTAACTGATCAGGAATCTGTACGCCAGCTCCCAATCATAGTGAGAGACAGCTTTGACAGCTCAGTCACTGAGCTGGGAGTGAGCAGTGAGTGTGCTTTCAGCACAGATACCTTGGCAAAGAACACATACTGTGTATGCAGCATGTGGGCATTAAAGCCTACCTTCTTTGCTGCTGCACATATGCGGGCAGCAAGAGATTAATAGAATTTCCAAAATTGTTTTTAAATTTACAGCCTTTTTTTCAACAGAAATTCTGGTGATCCTGCCACCTTGTTCAGTTACTTTGTATTATGGGTTGTAAACTGAATCCTATTTGTGCTTCTGCATTGACAGTTTCTCAAGGACCTGGATCACCATTGTTACCATTATGAAGCAATGATGTTGAGCCAAAGCTGTTTGGGTTTTCAAGTAGCTGCAGTATCTGAGTACAGTAGTTGTCAGTGCAGATTCCTAAGTCCACGCTGTTTACTGTGGATGGGGGACTCCATGGACTGAATGAGATTACTGACTTTGTAGGGCTGGCTTAACTCTAGATCAGGGGTCTCCAGTCTTTCTAAACAAAGGGGAGGTTTACTGTCCTTAAGACTTTAGGGAGGCCGGACTGTTGCTAGTGAGAGAAAAAAACATCCTGACACCACTGGAATTAATGTCCCATCATTAGTATCAGTGGGAGGAATAGTGCCCCATTGTTGCTATCCGTACGAGAAATAATGCTCCATCCTTAGTGTCAGTGGGAGGAAGAGTGCCTCATGGTTGGTATCCACGAGAGGAAGATTACACCATTGCTGTTGTCAGTGTGAGGAAGGGTACCCCATCATTCATGTCAGAACAAGGAATTGTGCCTCAAATCAGTTCCCAAGGGCCAGATATGAGACGCAAAGGGCTGCATCCAGCCCGCTGGCTGCAGTTTGGAGACCACTGCTCTGGACCAGCCTTTTTCAACCAGGGTGCCTTCAGGTATCTTCAGGAGTGCCTTGACAAAATTACTAAAAATTAACCAAAAAGTGTACACAAGTGGACCAAGCCTGCATTTTAGTTACACAAAGCCACAGGTTTGCATTGTGCACCATCACAACTTTCTAGTGTCATAATGGCCAATGATGTCTTTTGGTTGATAAGAAGGACATCAAGCACCTGCACAGCATCCTTGCTTGCCCCTCTCCATCAGCACTGGGGTCACATTAGCTGAGTGAGGGAAGGAAACTGAGGGAGAAGAGAAACATTATAATACTAGCCAGTACCAGAGTGCAAAGGTGTAAGAATAAATCACCTTTAACATTGGGTGTCCTACATGTGTGGATGTTGCAGCATTCTATAAAACTAGTACTTTGGTTTTTTACATTTTAGAATGGGATGCCTTGAGATTGTGCAGGATTTTAAAGGGTGCCTTGTCTAAAAAAAAGTTGAGAAACACTGCTCTAGACAATATGAGCTCCCAGCCTGGGACATTTACTGTATAAAGCAATGAACACATTAAAGCGGAGTTCCACACTCTGTAAAAAAATAAAAGTCAACAGCTACAAAAACTGTAGCTGCTGACTTTTAAAAAACAGCCTCTTACCTGTCCCATGATCCCGCGGTGCCCCTGCCGTTGCATCTTCAGTGTGGGCACCCGGCTGTGACAGCTTGCGGCTTCACAGCCGGGTACCCACTGCGCATGCATGAGTAGCGCTGCGCTTCCTGAATGGCCCTGTCCTCTTCTGGGACCTGTCACGTGTCCCACAAGACTACGGCGAGGGAGGGTAGGAGGGATAAATTCCGCTTCCGACCGCTTAGGTGATCACAGTGGAAGCGGGAGCGGGTATCTGTCAATTTCGGGTACCCACTCCCCAAAGGTGCCAATCCTTAATGGGGAGCGGGGGACCAACCTTTAAAGCGGAACTTCCCCTTTTGGGTGGAACTCCACTTTAAGAGCAGGTATGTCTTGAACCAGATGTCTAGACATGTGCAAGGCAGCGAAAGACTTCCATTGTGAGTCTGTACTGAATCCAACAGAACAAAAATGTCAGGACATGAGATACATTATAACTATCATAAAGAAAGATGCACATGGAAGCATAGCAATCAACAGAACAAAAAAAAAGCCTTTTTTCCCTATTGTGTACAGTTTATGCAGCCTACTATGCTAGAGCTGGCATAAAAGGCTTACCAAATGGATTAGCCTTGGACTTACACATGATGCTAAGTGCATTCCCTCCACATTTCCAATCATTGGAAGAACTGAGCACAGTATCCACCTCCACTACGTTGTTCCTTCAGTGTTATGATGGCTACAAAACGACTTGATGTGCTTATATTGCTTGCACATAGCATTGGCAGCTTCTTTTTAAACTGATTTTCAACCACAATTACTAGAAGCTTGAGACGTGTCACTAGCTTCTCCTGGATTGATGCAATGTATTGTCTGAAGCATTAAACTAGCTGGCCAAAGGTGTGCCACTGCTGCTGTGTAAATGTGACAGTTAGTGTTTAAAGAATTTTGAAATGGCCATTTAAAGTATCTATTAATTTTCCAAAACATGAAGTTGTCCATTGGATTAATTGCAATTATAAATCTGTTGTAAATTATTTTCTTTTTATTACCTGTCTTGGACAGACAAGGCACACCACTGTTGAATCTCAGAAGCCGGTTATGAAGCTTCTGTCATTAATTATCAACCTGCTACTTTATAGTCAAAGAGACAATTGATGTAAAAGTATGATATGACTTGATAGTGTTTATAGTGGCTGTTGCATGAGAAAATAATGATTTAGCAAAAGGTTTCAGTGCAGTACCAAGATCTAGAACAGTAATATGTTATTTCAGACCACTAAATTAAAAGTATTTTTTTTCATAGGGAAGGGAATGATTAAAACCCCTGCTTTTTTCCTGTTTTTGTTCCATTGGGGAGATTTCCATTCAGTTCCTGTCCAGTGAAAAGAACAGGAAGTCAGAGGAAATCACTCACAAGTGAGGGAAATCTCCTCTCAGGCAGTTGTCTCTTCAAACAAGTGTCCCTTTGGAATATTTGCTATGTATTCTTGTTCCAGTGACAACTAAAGTATTTTTATTTTCCACCATTTTTAGTCCTGTAACAATGGTCATCAGGACAAACAGACAGGGTGAATCTCCCCAAAAGGGGCATAGACAACCGCACAGTTTTTGCATGCTGGGCACCATTATGTTCCACATCAGACAAGCATGCTTTTAGGTTCTCTAAGCTATCAATTACTGTTCATTTAACTAATAAGGCTTTATCGTAAAATCTTTGGTCCAGACCAGGAGAGTCATTCTATAGAATACGAGAATCTATTGTGTCTTTGAGGTTATGAATGATGCCACTTGTAACTGTGCTTTGTCTCTGTGTTATATGTACACTTAGAAAATCAAAGCTGGTCTTGTTATCCTTCACTAAATTATCGAGGCAGATTCTTTGTAAATGAACAGGTGCTGCATTTTACAAAGGGGGACTTATTAAGTATTGCAGATCAGCATATACAGTAAGTGCATTCACTATATGCACACTGTTCAAGCACTCATGATATAGAATGAGAGTTTAACATGGAAGTAGTGACAAACAGTGAAATTAATTAATTTCAAAAGTACCCCTACATAGGGAAAAGAACATTCATTAAAGTTGAACTCTGGGCAAGTAGTTAAATATACATGTGAAACCTTGCTTTCACAGCAAGATATGGGGTGGGGTAAATCTTTATCACCAGTGCTGACCTATGAGCGACAAATGCGCCAAAGAAGCTCCTGAACCTCTTCGGACATTGAGCATCGGCAAGTTTATAGCACGTTTGCTAACTGTGCTTGGGGTGCTGTTAACATTAAAGTGGTACTAAAGTCAATATCTTAACTTGTACCTACAGGTTAGCTTATAATCAGGTTTACTTGTAGGTACAATGAATATCTCCTAAACATGCACTGTTTAGGAAAAATTCAAATCGGCAAAAGCTGATGAAATCACCCACGCATGCACAGTGACACTCTACATTCAGGGCACACAGTATGCCGTAGAATGCAGAGTGACGTCATCGTAGGCCCTGGCCATTCAAACAGCTGGATCCTACAAACCCAGAAGGAAGACTGGCTGAAGATGGAAGTGCTCGGGGAAACCATGACAGCACTGCGCTGGAGGGCTCCTTTTGCAGGTAAGTCTTTCATAATGTGGCAGTATGCACTGCACATTATGAAAGTCTGTATAGTCTGTATAAAGCTGCTGCCTTAATGCAGTACATCAGTGTCTCAGGTTCCTGCCTTTACCTTTGGACTTTCTGGGAGCCCCTTATCCCAGGGTGATTCAATATGCAAATCTCAACCTTTCCTGGGAAAGTTGAGAATATCCCACACTGCCTCATTAACTCCTTATTGGACAATGAGGCTGCCCATCACATTGAACAGCAAATAGGGATTTGCGGGAACAAAAATGAGATTTGTATATTAGAACTTCTTTATAGTGTTTGGGGAGAGGAAAATTTAGCTTTAAGCCAGTTTGCTGAAGTTAAAGATGTCACTTGAACCCACCCAAAAGTGAATTATTTTAGTGAGTTGTTTTCTTTTAAGACTTCTCAGAGACTCAAATAGTGAGATCCCCCCCAGGATTTACCCAGCTGTGTATTTCCTACCCTCCCCACCCTACCTACACACAAATACAGACACCTCCTGCTGCATTCCTATAACATGCAATAAATTAAAACCCAACAAGGAGAGAAAGATGTCCTCATACTGGAAGCAGCAAGTTGTTAGAACTGTGAATTTCGGAAAATAAAATCTAAAAAAAAAGAGTTCCTGAAAATATAGGAAACCTTTTGGAGTGGATTCACACTGGGCACAGTTGAATTGAACCATGTCCAAGTTTCTCTGTCCCTCTGGACACTCCCCAACTGGTCTGCACTCACACTGGGCTATAAGCAAGTATTCCTGGGCACACTTACATCTCCTCTACCAAACAGACCACAGTGTTCCCCGCTTCTGTGCTCAGTCATTTAAGGAGAGTTCTGTGCTCAGTCATCTGTGGAGAGTTCTGTGCTCAGTCTTCTATGGAGAGTTCTGTGCTCAGTCTTCTATGGAGAGTTCTGTGCTCAGTCTTCTATGGAGAGTTCTGTGCTCAGTCTTCTATGGAAAGTTCTGTGCTCAGTCTTCTATGGAGAGTTCTGTGCTCAGTCATTTATGGAGAGTTCTGTGCTCAGTCATTCTATGGAGAGTTCTGTGCTCAGTCATTTATGGAGAGTTCTGTGCTCAGTCATTTATGGAGAGTTCTGTGCTCAGTCTTCTATGGAGAGTTCTGTGCTCAGTCATTTATGGAGAGTTCTGTGCTCAGTCATCTGTGGAGAGTTCTGTGCTCAGTCATTTATGGAGAGTTCTGTGCTCAGTCTTCTATGGAGAGTTCTGTGCTCAGTCTTCTATGGAGAGTTCTGTGCTCAGTCTTCTATGGAGAGTTCTGTGCTCAGTCATTTATGGAGAGTTCTGTGCTCAGTCATTTATGGAGAGTTCTGTGCTCAGTCATTTATGGAGAGTTCTGTGCTCAGTCATTTATGGAGAGTTCTGTGCTCAGTCATCCGTGGAGAGTTCTGTGCTCAGTCTTCTATGGAGAGTTCTGTGCTCAGTCATTTATGGAGAGTTCTGTGCTCAGTCATCTGTGGAGAGTTCTGTGCTCAGTCTTCTATGGAGAGTTCTGTGCTCAGGCACAATTTGCACTCACACTGAGGCAAATCATAACAGACCACAAGTGAATCATGCCTGGGACCATCTCTTCCAAGTGGTCTCAGGCACGGTAGACCTAACCATTCCTAGGCACGGATCAGAGCACTCACACTACAAAAAACTAAGTGGAGTGTGGCAGTAACCAGCACAGTTTGCTTCAGTGTGAGTGCAAACCATGCCTGAGCACAGAACACTCCATAGATGACCGAGTACAGAAGAGGGGAATACTGTAGTCTGGTTGGCAGAGGTGATGATGTAAGGGTAGACCAGCTGCGATTTCTCCTGCGCTCTAGGGCCCAGACCAGTGGCAAATAGATGGAACCAACACCAGAGCAAGCGACCACCAGTATATTTCAAGGTTGTGCAGCTCCAAAACATGGCTGGGGAAGCAAAGTGAAACAAAAAACAAGAAGCGCACCAAACTTGCGCATTACCTCAGTAACAGAATTTATTAATAGAAGATAGGTACTCACAAACAGTACAGGCATGTAGTCCTCAAAGGGACTTCAAAGATAAGAAGCCAGCGCGAATCCCATCATGGGGGTAGACAATCAGTATAGCTGACACGTTTTCGAAGGCTATGCCTTCTTTCTCAGAGCTTCTTCCTTCGAAACACGTCAGCTATACTGAGTGTCTACCCCCATGATGGGATTCGCGCTGGCTTCTTATCTTTGAAGTCCCTTTGAGGACTACATGCCTGATTTTATTCGCTGTTTGTGAGTACCTATCTTCTATTAATAAATTCTGTTACTGAGGTAATGCGCAAGGTTGGTGCGCTTCTTTTTGTTTCACTTTTCTTTTTGTTTCACTTTGCAGTAGTGATGATGTAAGGGTGCCTGTGAATTCTTGTTTATGACCCAGTGTGAGTAGAGACCAGTAAGGGAGGGGAAAGCAGAGACAATTGATCTCGGGCATGGCTCAGTTCAACTGTGCCCAGATTGAGTGCACCCTTATTGGCCGACATCAAGCCATATATGAGTTTTAGCTTAATATTGTGACATTTCTACCATCAAGATGTATGTCATTAATCCCAGTGATACATTAGTATGCTTGATAAGGGAGATTAAGGAGGCTGACATCACTGAGAATGATGTCCATATTTTGCTACTATTGCAGAAAGGCCACAGAATAGCTACCATTCCTGTTTATATAGCTGTTGCCTGGTCATTAACAGAACAAATGTTAGATAATAGATAACAGATCATAGGTGTCTATTTTGTCTAGTTTGTCAATATTATTTATTATGTTTTTTGTTACCATGTGTGGTTTTTGTGATGTTTAGTGTATTAATCACGGGCATGGCTGTAATCACCACATGTGGGAGGATTCAGTGGTGTCTGTTCTGTTTTCAGATCAAATGGTCTGTCTCACTCATGGAGCGAGAGGATACCCGACACCAAACATGTCTCTGATGTCTGTGAAAATGGACGACCGAGGAGCAATTCCTGGCAAGGTGAGTTCTTATCCTTCGAATTGGGATAGAAATTGCATTTTATAGATTTTTTTAAAAAGGGGAACAAAAAACAAGTCAAACTGACCAAAACTGAGCCATTCACCTACATGCCCCTACTCGGCCTATGAATAGGTTGACACCATTTTTTGAGATCTCATGACTATAATTACCAATATATGAGCAATTAGGTAAAATTAATGTGTAGGCCTTTACTAAATAAAAATCATATGAAATTCACCTCTGTAATACATGCACATTCATCCATGGTCTGTCTAGGAGTCCCTTTTGTCTCTGTAGTCCAGAAGTACCATGTAATCCGGTTGCAGTGTGTTTCCAAAAGTAGTGCATGCACTAGTGCAGTGTAGTGCGATTTTGAACCCATACAAAATGAAAGGACTCAAATTGCACTGCACTGAATTGCATGTGAATTACACAGGAATGTGTATCATGTTCCTCTGCGATTCCTAGTGTGAACCAGGCCGTAAGCCTGGTACACATATTAAGTTTTTTTTCTGCTCAACTCAGAGCGTTGGACAAAAAAAAAAAAACTGAGAGGTCGCCATGCTAACTGTCCAATGTTAGTGCTGGATCGTCCCTCCTCCCCTAGAACACACTGGCCAGCACTCGCAGCCATTGGCTGCCAGCGCTAATTGGATGTCGGTCAGCTGCTGGTTTTCCAGTATGCTCGTTCAACAGCAGCAGGTTATAAGTTCGGCTTTTATCGGTCAGAGAGCTGTACACATGGGCTGAAAGTCATTCCGGTTTGTATTGTACCTGCTGATTTCGGCCGATATTCAGCCTGTGTGTACCCCTCATTACTTTGTGGATAATATAACTAACCCTATACATTGAATCAGCCTATGAAGAGATCAATTACAATAGTTGGCAGAGTATACAAAATAAGAACACATATATAGATCTCAATTCTAAAGCAGATGTAAAACATGGGAGCATCTGCAATCTTTGTTACACCGTATGTTACCAGGTTCAGTGAAATTAATTATGCCCAGGCTTTGTTTTGGTAAGAATATAATAGCAAGCTTTGATGCTTGTAATCAGACAGTAAATTGTGAGTCTCTGACATTCGTAAGAGTATAATACTAGCCTTGATGTGAATTCATTTTGGAGCTAATAGTAAATCAAACATATCTGTAGCAAATTGGCAGCAGTTAAATGAATCCAAACAGCTTATTCCCTTTTTGTAATAAAACAAAAAGAAATGCACTGGTTCTACAGCTCACTTCAAAAAATAAATGGTAATTCCACATTAATAAAAATATAATTCGGTGCCTGGCAGCCTTCTCAGTAAAAGTGTATTACTGATAATGAGATTCTTTCTGGATATTCTTTCACTAAAAAGGATTTAGCCCCAGTGTTCTCATTTAGTAGATATAAAGTAAAAATCTTTTAACAGTCTACATTTCTACATCAAACTGTGGAGGCAAGTTCACATATACACGCAAAGATAAGTTCCATGTACCTGAACTTTATCATTTGCAAACACGCCATACATCCAGATGTTACCTCTCTATATTAGTTGCAAGGGTCCTCACCTCCTTATGGTAAAGTGTTTTTTTTGGGATACAGTCATATGCAATGTTGTAGATGTATCAGCTTTAAAAAATATGCAGAGGATGGGTTCATCCTGTAATAACAACTGAGTATGCACCCAAGGAATTCAGGCAGCCAACACGTATTGAGGGACTTGGTTGTCATTTTTTAGATTATATCATACGTGTAGAGGCACTTTTATTTTGCCTTGCACTTTTTGAACAGAGTACTAAAGCCAGTTTATTTCTGATCACCAGTATGTGGTGTTGACATGTACTGTCTCCCTGCCCATGACACATTGCTGCAATGCCCGATGTTGAAGCAACTTTGTAAGTAAACATTGACCAGGGGCATTGCTAAGCTAAGGCATCTGAAACACTAGTTCCAGGTCTCCAACAAAGTCCCCTATGGGCTCATTCCTACTGCTACAACCTCTCACACAGGTAAAACTGATAACTGCTTTTTTCTAGAGGGGCCTAAATGTTTAAACGAAAAAATAATTCACAGCTTTCCTTGTATGCTGTTCCGTCTCTACTGTTGGGCAGAAAGTATTTCAGAAGTTTGCCCTCAAGTACTATAGCCTAAACAGCAGGCAGATGGTGGGTCTGTCTACCTAGAGACTAGCCATGGTCAAGGGATGGGGGAAGGCAAAAAGAGAAGAGATATGGTACATAGATACGGCTCATGTTGATGGATGTTGCCCTGCATTTGATGTGCAAAGCAGGTCAAATACATGTTTTTTTTTTAACACAAATGCATATGGTCAAATGGAAAATGTAGAATTTGACTGGAGCACTTGTCGACATGAACTATACAGAACACGAGAGACTCTCTTCACAGAGGTGTAACCCAACACTTCACCTTTAGTGGAGGTTGATTGTAGCTAAATGCTGCAATCGTAAATTCAACCTGTTATGAGAGAAGTGCTGGAGCTCCCATTGCTGGCCTCTACTACTAATGCTAGAGGCCTGGTTGTGTCTAACTTTTGAGTCAAAGATCTGGGACAACATGGTGCTTGGTATATACAACAAGAGAAAGTCAGAAGAAAACCAAAAGTTTGCATTAGGGTTTGCAAGAGTACGAGTACAGATACTTGTGCTCAAGTACTCACTGATATCATTTACCGATATCTATGTGCTGCAATTTGAGGCCATACAAAATGAATGTCTCAAATCGCATTGCAAATCAAACCGTACCTGCAGGGAAACTGCATGGTATTCAGACAGGAATTGCACCACATGCCTGTTCAAATCACATGCAATACTTTGCACTGCCATTGAAGCCTATTCATTTTGTATGGGCTCAAATTGCACCGAAAAGGTATTGGTTTCAGATATTGGAGCATTTACACAAGTGTGAGTACTCATGCAAATGCTTAGTATTGGCACCAATACTGGTATCGATGCAACTCTGCTCTGCATGTCTGCACTTGTTCCAGGTCAGCTATTTGGACATGAAGCCAAAACTTCAGAATGACAGCCAGGCAATCAGCATTCTTTAAAGGAGTGGTCAACAATGCCAACCTACAATATTCTCTTATGACAAATTCCCTTAAATCTTCTTACTCTAAAAAGCACACCAGTACTGAGCAGTACTGTACCTGTAGTAGTAAAAGGGTACTATGAAGGAGGACAGTAGTTCTTAGATACTTTGTGAAATTGGAATCATAGTATTTTCAGCTGTTTATGGCAAGTCACACAGCTTGTTTGTTCATTTTGTCATGTTTTCCAGGAAACATAAGCAGCAGCAGGAAAAAGCTTCGAGGAAAGCGATTCAGACCCCGCTCCAATTCCACTGAGTAAGAACCTACATCTTGAATAATTCATGCTATATAAAACCCAGCAGGCCAGCCTTTGTTTCAAATTTAGGCAATTCGTGGCTTGCTAACTGTTGTAGAACTGCAAATCCCAGCAAGCCCGGCAAGCTTGCTAGAACTTGTAGCTGTGCATCATCTAGTGCTGCAGGATGCCTAATTGTCATTTGAATTGAAGCTTGCTTTATGCACACACAGCTTAAGACAAATGGTCACAATATGTTCCATCTGTCATCTACTTCAGCGCATGCCGTTCACGCTAACCAGTTCTGTTCATTGAGATTTAATCTAAGATAGGGTTTATGTCTTTTTATCTATGTATGTTGATGTTCTGCATAGGTCAGTCTTTTCACTTAGTGATCTTGTGACAGGTTAGGACCAGTAAACCGAAAACAATGACTGACATTTTGTGAAAGAGCTGCTAATAGACCATTATACCTAAGAATCAGGGGCAGACTGACCATTTGGAAACGCGGGCACTGCCCGAGGGACCGGGGTCAGTAGGGGGCCCCATGAGATGCCCCTGGTACCTTTTTCATAGGCTTTTTTGAGTTTGAGCAAGGACACAGGGGCCCTATGATCCCCTATTGCCCGGGGGCCCCATGAGTTGTCAGTCCGCCCCTGCTAAAAATGATCAAGTTTATCGTATAACTTTGCCAGTTTTCTGACCTAACTCATAGATCATCTGCTTCATTGGACAGTCTGCAGGCTAGCAAACTAAAAAAAACCTGAAACACATTTTTTAAATTAAGAAAAAATGTGATAAAAGTTAAAAAAAAAAAGAAATGGTGCAAAACTGGAAACTTACAACATAACTGAAAAATAATACGATAAATAGTAAAGTAGAACAACATCAGCAAAATGAAACTTTATCAGCAAACTAGAACAATATAAATTACAACAGCTGATGAATAAGGACAAACCTGGCACATTTCAACACAATGGTTGAATAGGGAAAAAACAAACTACAGTATAATTGGCAAACCAGAACAATAAAACCAAACTGACCAAAATCAGCAAATTACACAAAAACTAGAACAAAATCAAGAAGCTACAATATAATCGGTGCATTAAAACAAAACAGGCAAGCTACAATATGATGGTGATGATGGAAACAATTGGCAGATAACCAGTAAACAAGGACAAAACCAACGAACTACAAAAGCACTAGAAAACTTGAACAAAACTAGCATACAACATCATAACTGCCAAACTAGAATAAAACCAAGAAACTACCAAAAAAAAAACCAGGTAAACCAATCCATAAAATTCGGGATCTAGAACAAAACCAACAAACCACACCATAACTAGAACACTAGAAAAAAGCCAAAAAGTACAATATAACTGGTTAACCAGATGAAAATAAGCAAACTAGAACATAACCATTGAACTAAGACAAAACCTACAAACTACACCAGAACTAATAAACTAGAACAAAACAAGCAAACTATACAAGAACTAGCAAACTAGAACAAAGCTAGCAAAACTAACAAATTCTAGCATTCCAGTAAAATACAATATACAATATAACAAAATAGAAAAACTACAACTGAACTAATAAATAAGAACAACACCGGAAAACTGCCACATTGTTATCAAATAAGAACTTTGTGAAGTACAATAAAATTGGTGAACTAGAGCAGGGGTCTCTAAACTTTCTAAGCAAAGGGCCAGTTTACTGTCCTGCAAACTTTAGGGGGGCCGGAATGTGGCCAGCGGGAGCAGAAATGTCCTGGTATCAGTGGGAGTAAATACTGTCCCCTTTTTTGTATTGGGGGGAAGAATAGTGACCCATCATTGGTCTTCGCTGGAGAAATTAGTCTCCCATTGTTGGTGTCAGTGGGAGGAATAGTGTCCCATCGTTGGTGTCAGTGGGGGGAATAGTGTCCCATCGTTGGGTGTCAGTGGGAGGAATAGTGCCCCATCATTGGTGTCAGTGGGAGGAATAGTGCCCCATCGTTGGTGTCAGTGGGAGGAATAGTGCCCCATCGTTGGTGTCAGTGGGAGGAATAGTGTCCCATCATTGGTGTCAGTGGGAGGAATAGTGCCCCATCATTGGTGTCAGTGGGAGGAATAGTGCCCCATCATTGGTGTCAGTGGGAGGAATAGTGCCCCATCGTTGGTGTCAGTGGGAGGAATAGTGCCCCATCGTTGGTGTCAGTGGGAGGAATAGTGCCCCATCCTTGGTGTCAGTGGGAGGAATAGTGTCCCATCATTGGTGTCAGTGGGAGGAATAGTGAGCTATATTTGGTATTAAGGGGAAGAACAGCGAATCATTGTTTATGTCAGTGGAATAGAGTCCCATCATTGGTGTAAATGGGAGGAATAGTGCTCCATCGTTGGTGTTCGTGGGAACAATAGTGCCTCATCATTGGTGTCAGTTGGAGGAAAAGTGCCCCATCATTGGTGTCAGTGGGAGGAATAGTGCTCCATTGTCGGTGTCAGTGGCAGGAACTTTGCCCCACTGTTACTGATAGTGGGGGGAATAATGCCCCAAGGGCCACATAAAAACAAGTAAAGGGCCGCATCCGACCCCCGGGCCGTACTTTGGAGACACCTGAGCTAGAGCAAGACTATCAAAGCAATACAAAAATGGCACACTTATAACCAGCACTAAACATAACAGAACAAAGGAGAAACATTGATTGGAATCATAGGATATGATGTATATGATATAGGAATGATGTGCTCAGATGTTTAGGGGTGTACTAAGTTGTACAATTCCGGTTGTTAAACTTCAAATATTCATTAAGTTACAGTTGCATATGAAAACAGTTACAAATAGTGAAATCTGAAACTAGGGAATTTATAGATGGAAACGGGAAACCCAGTGGTTAAATATTTTTTCTTAAAAAGTGAATTGCGCAATGAAAAAAGCAATAACCATTTCATATCTATGTAAAAGTCCCCACACCTGTACAGAATATGTACTATTTGACATGTATATGTTTTGCTGTGCTGCTTATTCTATGTTAGGTGCCATTTTAAGCTACAGGGGGCTGAAGGTGATGGTTGGTATTTTGTAAAGGACTACTTGGAAGGAAGTTAGCTGCATTTAGACAACCCTTCTACACCATCTTTATTTGAAATAGAATTTTTTTTTACTGTCTATGCATATTCACATTTATCCTGGACATAATATAGCTAGTTGTAGTTACTCACATTCAGCTGGACTTGTTCTGTAAGGACATTTTTTATATCCACATAGGTAAATCAGTCACCTTAGTCCAACAGCATGGATTGTGCTGAAATACCCAACATCCAAACACAAGCAAAGTAACCTAGTATATAAAGTGCAGTGTAGTGAGGAAATCAAAGATCTGTACAATGGGGAAACAAAGCAACCTCTCAAAAAATGAATACAAGGGTAAAATCTGCTCCATTTAGCCAACAAAGTACATATTCACCTTTGTAAAAAAAAAAAAAAAATCATCAGCCTCCTCAGTGTGGTATGGCCCTTTCAAATCTCCAAGGCATCAACGAGCAGGTGCGAGCAGCCCGAAGCTAGATTTTATTATCTATAAACAGCACAGGAGTAAACAGCCATCGGAGGAGGTAAGTATTGACCATAGTGGGGGGAATATACTGCTGTATGTATTGGGGGGGTTAAGGAGGGGGCTGAGGGAATTTTTTGTACTTTAAACCTAATAAGTGATAGTAAATTACTAAGTTGTTATATCTACACCCAATGCATGCAACCTTGTTTTTAATTTACCTAATTTCCAAAAAATGTGTAGACCCCTGACCACCACGCCTATATGAGCTTGTTGGATGTCCCATTCCAAAACCGTGGGCATTAAAATGAAAGTTCTTCCTTCCTTTGTGGCTATAACAGCCTCCACTTTTTGGGAAGCTGTTCCACAAAATGTTGGAGTGCGTCTGTGGGAATTTGTAGTCCTTCAGCAAAAAAAACATCTGGGACTAGAAGACTTGGCTTGCTAATGGCACTCCAGTCCCAAAGGTGTTCAGTAGAGTTGAGGTCAAGGTCATGTTGAAGCATTATTCTCTTGGTCCAGCTCTCCAGTGTGCTGCCAGTACAGGGTAACTTTGACAGTTCTAGTCAAAAAGACTTAATAACAAAAAAATGCCATTTTGTTTACTTCTTTTATAGTCTGACCACATAACAAGTATAATAACCCTACCCAGTCCAATTTAATCCTTTTATAACTTTTGTTATTTTTTCTTACATAAAACTCAGAATTCCCGTAATTTCACAAGCACACTATGGGTCGTCTTTGTGACCAACCAATGTGTGAAGTCATTAATACCACACAATCTGGAGACCCACACCTTGTTTATTGGTGTCAATTTATTTGATTGCTAGTATTTTCTTTGTAGCCTCAGTCAAATGCAGGCTTCTCTTCCTTCTAGCTGATTTCTCCCTGTAAACAGGTACAAATTATTTCATCATCAAAATGACAAAACTCCTCTCTCCAGTCTCCTTTAGTTTGTTGATACAGACAAGAGGTTTAACACTGAACATCAGGAATATGAAGAACTACTCTTGCAGGGGGGCTCCCTTCGCACTGTGAGAGTTAAGTGTTCGTTTTTGCATAGGGTATCAGTAAAGCACACTTTTACTTACCTTATCCCTTGCTTTTCTGGTAGCCAGCACTCTTCTCTTCTCTTAGATGCACCAGGTCGGTGGGCCTTTGGCATATATGTAGGACTGATGGCCCTGCATTGTGTACAATGGCGTCAGCTGTGATCAGTGTTAAGAGGCTTCGGAGGACCAGTTGCAAGGAAGCATGAGCCTCTGGGAGCTAGAGATAAGGTAAATACATGTGCTTTCTACTGGTGCTCTGGGCAAAAACAGCACTTACCCATTGCAGTGTTTGGGAGCCCCAGAGCAAGGGTAGTTTTTTCGCTTTTAAAAAAGACAATCACAAAAGGGTAAAGACAGCCATAGACATGAGGTGACTATTGTTCTGGCTAGAACACCTTATTTTATACCGATTATTTATCCCATGAAAACCTGGAACCTG